CCTGCGCAGGAGCAGGTTCTCTATTAGAAGTGGAGGCAATGTATCAGGTTTCGGCTGAGAATTTGGGTTAAACAATGAGAAATGGAATATTTTAGATTGGGGATCCAACTTCATTTCTTTCATTCTTCTTTTGGAGCAGTGTCACATCATTGCTTCCTCTCTGCAACAGAACAGCTTGTTGTAGGCCAGACCAAGCCTTGTCAAAATATATTAAGAAGAAACTCCAGACCATAACGTTTTTCTTATTTTGAAGGTAAGTGGAAGGTATTGAGTTCTGGATGCAATACAATTGGTCGAAAAACCAGGCTTGAAATATATATATTTTATATATATATATATTATATCAGAGCAACACTGCACAAAGATCGAACACTGGACACTTTCAGAGACAGACAGTTTAAGTGGGTTCATAACTAAGTCTCACCATTAATCAAATAACAACTAAGTTGAGTTGTGAGGCTTAAATTGCTTCCTTGAGGGGTTTTATTTTGGTTGCTACTGCTATAAAGTTTAAACCATTGTTCCAATACTTGATTGTGAGATTTCTTAATTATTGGAAAAATTAAAGGTAATTTGGGGTGATTTACCCAGAACAAGGCCCTTGGAATTTTTGCACTTGTATGTCTGCTAAAACAACTTATACCCGCTCCTTAGTAAAGTTGACGTGGTCTAGAACCTCACAATCACAACTGAAACCTCCAGCTACTGTGATTTTCTCGTTTGTGAAAAATATTCATTGAAGAATTCACCTGCATCTCTGGATCCACGCACAGATTGCCCCTTTAGTTTCTAATAAGCCCTACTCTTTCCGTGGTAATGCTCCTACTCTTAATATACTTATAAATTGCCTATCTAATTCTCTCTACCAAAGATATTATGTGGCCTTTCTTTGCCATCTCTGTTTCTTTTCTTAAGCACCCCCTCCACCCCACACACACACACTCTATACTCCTGAGGAGCCTCCCTTGTTTTTTAATGTTTTGCAACTAACATATGCTTACTTCTCTTTCCTTATCAATCTTTCGATATCCCTTGACATCCAGGGTTCCCTGGAGTTTCTGCCCTTCGCCTTCACTCTTAGAAGGACATATTTGCCCTGAACACTCACTGTATTACTTTTCAAAAGACTCTTACTTTACAATTGTACGCTTACTTGCAACAGCTTGGACCTAGTACAGAATATTTGCATCCTATGTAGTCACAGCAGAGGCTCTAGAGGACTGGAAAATAGCTTACGTTGTTACTTTTTAAAGAAGGGCAACAGGGATAACCTGGGAAATTGCAGTGGCAGGGGAATTATTGGAGAAGATTCTTAGAGACAGGATTTACTCATTTTTGGAAAGTGCGGGCCTATACAGGTTGTGTGGCATTTTGCAGGGGAGGCCACATGTCAGAAACTCGATTGGAAATGACAAAGATGATTGATGAGGGTAGGATGGAGGATATGGTCTATATGGGCTTTAGCAAAGTCTTTGACAAGGTCCTCAGCCAGGCTGACACAGAAGGTGAAGTCACATGGGATCAGCAGTGAGCTGGTAAATTTGATAAAGAAATAACTTGGCCATAGAAGACAGGGATTAAGGGCGGAATATTGTTTTTCTGACTGGAGATCTGTCACCAGTGGTGTTCCATAGAGAGCAGTTCTATAGGATCCTGTTGTTTTGAAAATATATATGATTTGTAGGACAATGTAGGTTGTCTAATTAGTAAATTTGTGGAGGACACAAATATTGGAGGAGCTTCAAATAGTGAGGAGAATTGCCAGAGTATACGGCTGGATATAAATAGGATGGAGAATTGGGCAGATAAATGGTGGACGGAATTTAATTTGGACAAATGTGAGGTGATGCATTTAGGGAGGTCTAATGCAGGAGGCAAGTATACAGTAAATGGCAGAATACTTAGAAGCTTCAACATAGAGTGGATTGAGGCATAAAAGTCTAAAGTTGCCTGAAAGTGGCAAAACAAGTGGATACAGCAGTCTAGAAGGCATATGGAATGTGTGCCTTCATTGATCAGGGCATAGAGTATAAATTTTGTAAGTCATGTTGCAGCTGTATAGAACTTTATTGAGGCTATATTTGGAATATTGCATGCAGTTCTGCTTGCCAGCTACCAAAAGGATGCAGAGGCTTTGGTGAGGATACAAAAAAGTCTTATGAGGGATGTTGTCTGGTGTGGAAGGTATCAGCTATGAGGAGGGATTGGGAAAATTTGGTCTGTTTTCACTTGAACATCAGAGGCTGAGGGGGTGACCTAATAGAAATTGATAAAATTATGAGAGAAATGGATAGAATAGATAGTCGGAGTCTTTTTTCTTCCCCGGGCAGAAATGTCAATGATTCAGCGACATTAGATTAATGTAAAAGAAGGAATGTTCAAAGGAGATATGAGAGGCAAGTATGTTTTTCTTAGTGGTAAGTGCCTGGAATGCACTGCCAGAGCAGGTGCTAGAAGCTGATACAATAACAAAGTATGAGGTATCTTGACAGATCCATGAAAAGGCTTAAAGAATGGAAGGTTACAGACCATTGAGAGACAAAAGGTAACAAGGTGTAGAGCTGATGAACACAGCAGGCCAAGCAGCATCAAAGGAGCAGGAAGGCTGATGTTTCGGGCCTAGACCCTTCTTCAGAAATGGGGGAGGAGAAGGGGGTTCTGAAATAAATAGGAAGAGCAGGGGAGGTGGATAGAAGATGGATAGAGGAGAAGATAGGTGGTGAGGAGACAGACAGGTCAAAGAGGCGGGGATGGAGCCAGTAAAAGTGAGTGTAGGTGGGGAGTTAGGGAGGAGATAGGTCAGTCCAGGGAGGATGGACAGGTCAAGGGGGTGGGATGAGGTTAGTAGGTAGGAGATGGGGGTGGGGCTTGAGGTGGGAGGAAGTACAGGTTAGAGAGGTGGGGACGAGCTGGGCTGTATTTGGTATGCGGTAGATGTTCGTTTTTCAAGGACTGCAACTTCCTCCCCTCAGTGGTCGAGAACGCCCTCGACCATGTCTCCCGCAACTCATCCCTCACACCCCCTCCCCACAATAACAACCAAAACAGAATCCCCCTAGTCCTCACGTACCATCCCAGCAACCTCTGGATCCAACGCGTCATCCTCTGACACTTCCGCCATCTGCAATCCGACCCCACCACCAAAGACATTTTTCCCTCCCCACCCTTATCTGCTTTCTGGAGGGACCACTCCCTCCGTGACTCCCTTGTCCGCTCCACACTCCCCTCCAGCCCCACCACACCCAGCACTTTTCCCTGCAACCGCAGGAAGTGCTACACTTGCCCCTACACCTCCCCCTTCACCCTCATCCCAGGCCCCAAGAAGACTTTCCACATCAAGCAGATGTTCACCTGCACATCTGCTAATGTGGTATACTGCATCCGCTGTTCCCTTTGTGGCCACCTCTACATCGGGGAAACCAAGCGGAGGCTTGGGGACCGCGTTGCAGAACACCTACGCTCGGTTCGCACTAAACAACTGCACCTCACTGTCGCGAACCATTTCAACTCCCACTCCCATTCCTCAGATGACTCGTCCATCGTGGGCCTCCTGCAGTGCCACAACGATGCCACCCGAAGATTGCAGGAACTCATATTCCACTTGGGAACCCTGCAGCCCAATGGTATCAATGTGGACTTCACAAGCTTCAAAATCTCCCCTCCCCCTATCGCACCCCAAATCCAGCCCAGCTCGTCCCCGCCTCCCTAACCTGTCCTTCCTCCCACCTATCCCCTCCTCCCACCTCAAGCCCCACCCCCATCTCCTACCTACTAACCTCATCCCGCCCCCTTGACCTGTCCATCCTCCCTGGACTGACCTATCTCCTCCCTCACTCCCCACCTACACTCACCTTTACTGGCTCCATCCCCGCTTCTTTGACATGTCTGTCTCCTCTCCACCTATCTTCTCCTCTATCCATCTTCTATCCACCTCCCCCTCTCTCCCTATTTATTTCAGAACCCCCTTCCCCTGCCCCATTTCTGAAGAAGCGTCTAGGCCTGAAACGTCAGCCTTCCTGCTCCTCTGATGCTGCTTGGCCTGCTGTGTTCATCCAGCTCTACACCTTGTTATGTCAGAGGTTAGCACTGCTGCCTCACAGCGCCAGGGATCCGGGTTTGATTCGACCCTCGGGCGACTGTCTGTGTGGAGTCTGCACATTCTCCCAGTGCCTGCGTGGGTTTGCTCCGGTTTCTTCCCACAGTCCAAAGATGTGCAGGCTAGGTGGATTGGCCATGGTAAATTGCCCATAGTGTTAGGGATCTGTAGATTAGATGTATTAGCCATGGGAAATGCAGGGTTACAGGGAAAGGTTAGGGGGATGGTGATGAGTCTGGGTGGGATGGTCTCCGGAAGGTCGGTGTGGACTTGTTGGGCCGAAGGGCCTGTTTCCACCCTGTAATGATTCTGTGATATTAATTCCTTCCCTGACAGCAAATCATTGACGACGCGCAAATGAAAAGTCAGGCGAAATCGACCTTTGCGTGTTTTTGATGTTTATGTGCGTGGGCACATACTATTAAAAGCTTTGTAAGTTGGAGACATTGGGTTTTCTTTTTATGTATATAAATACATTTAAAGTAATCACAAGTCATGCCTTTGATAACTGAATTCAAAATGCTTGTCTATGGCTGTTTCGGAATCCAGTGATCGACATTGTCACTACAGCCAACGGACAAAGCAAACTGACAATTATCAATGCGACCTGTAACACTTTTTAAAAAATGTTTGACACCGACAGGAAAATCTACACCATTAGCTTTAATTTTTATGACGGATTGTAATTCCGATAATTCTATATTTCAATTAAGAGCCGTGTGAGATTGAATGAAAAAAAAAGTGTAAACATAAACACCAGCCCGGCAGCAGCTGCACTTTTCAGTTTTTTTTTAGAATAAACGTGAAATACCCAAACAAGTAATTAATTCCTCAGAGCCTGACGCAAAGTACAAATGTGACATTTGTTATTATATGCTAACTATGCTGAGTGCTTCTTAAAGCAATGCATGCATCACCAAATGGTCTGGTTTTTGCCATTTATTATCCCATCCTTGGAGCTATGGGTGTTCCAGGTAATTTATTGTACCAAGTCAGTCGCTGTCTGAATTTAGCAACATTGGTGACGTTAGATTTGTCATTTTGCCAGGTGATTATCTTCTCAATATAGATAACTTTTCTCAGATGTAAGGTTTTTTGTCATTTCATGATACACTGTATTTACTTTAACTGTAAAATTACTCACCTTTTATTGTTTATATCTCTTCCCGCTCAACTGAACTAACTCTTCAGTTTAACTGTCTGACTGTTGGTAGAGTAAGTCAACGTTCATCATATTAATTGGTTCAATTGACAATTTTATTTCTGTCTTGTTCCTGCATCACTTCTTCACATTGCAACTTCTGATAGTGGTTTTCAATCATCCTACTAATGGCATCAAGTTATCACTTAAGTTATATACTTCTTCCTATTTATGATTCACATAGAATCCCTACATTGTGGAAGAAGGTCATTTGGCCCATCGAGTCCACATCAACTCTCCAAACAGCATTCCAGCCAGACCCAGCCCTCCAACCTATCCCTGGAGCCCTGTATTTACCATGGCTAATCTGCATAAATGCACAACCCTGGACATTGTGGGCAATTTAGCATAGTCAATCCACCTAACCTGCACATCTTTGGACTATGGGAGGAAATCAGAGCACCTAGAGGAAACACATGCAGACACGGGCAGAATGAGCAAATTCCAGTAGAACTCCGTGGGAAGCTGGGAAGTGATTGCTGGGCCCCTTGCTGAGATATTTGTATCATCAATAGCTGTAGGTGAGGTGCCTGAAGATTGGAGTTTGGCTAATATGGTGCCACTATTTAAGAAAGGTGGTAAGGAAAAGCCAGGGAACTATAGACTGGTGAGCCTGACATCAGTGCTGGGCAAGTTGTTGGAGGGAATCCTGATGGACAGGATTCACATGTATCTGGAAAGCCAAGGACTCATTAGGGATAGTCAACATGGCTTTGTGCATGGCAAATCGTGTCTTACTAATTTGATTGAGTGTTTTTGAAGAAGTACAGGAAGAAGATTGATGAGGACAGAGCAGTGGATGTGATCTATATAGACTTCAGTAAGGCTTTTGAGAAGGTTCCTTCTGGTAGACTGGTTAGTAAGGTCAGATCACATGGGACACAGGGAGAACTAACCATTTCGACAGAGAACTGATTCGAGGGAGGGTTGCTTTTCAGACTAGAAGCCTATGACCAGTGCTGTGCCACAAGGATTGGTGTTGGATACACTGCTTTTAGTTATTTATATAAGTGATTTGGATGTGAACATAGGAGATATAGTTAGTAAGTTTGCAGATGACACCAAAATTGGAGGTGTAGTGGACAGCAAAGAAGGTTATCTCAGATTACAATGGGATCTTGAATAGGCTGAGGAGTGGCAGATGGAGTTTAATTTACATAAATGTGAGGTGCTGCATTTTGGAAAGGCCAATCAGGGCAGGGATTATACACTTAATGGTAAGGTCCTGGGCAGTGTTGCTGAACAAATAGACCTTGGAGTGCAGATTCATAGCTCCTTGAAAGTGGAGTCGTATGTAGGCAGGATAGTGAAGAACGTTTTTGGAATGCTTGCCTTTATTGGTCAGTGTACTGAATATATGAGTTGGGAGATCATGTTGTGGCAGGACATTGGTTAGGCCACTTATAGAATCCTTACAGTGTGGAAATAAGCCATTCAGTCCAACAAGTCTACAGTGACTCTCTGGAGAGCATCCCACCTAGACTCATCCTCCCTCTTATAACCCTGCATTTTGTATGGCTAACCTGCACAGCTTTGGACTGTGAGAGAAAATTGGGGCACCAAATGAAGCCCACAGATACAGGGAGAATGTGAAAACTCCACACAGATGATCGCCCAAGGCTGGAATTGAACCCAGGTCCCTGGTGCTGTAAGGCAGCAATGCTGACCATTGAGCCACCATGCCACTTTTGAAATACTGAATGCAGTTCTGGTCTCCCTGCTATAGAAAGGATATTGTGAAACTTGAAAGGGTTCAGAAAAGATTTACAAGGATGTTGCCAGGATTGGAGGATTTGAGCTATAGGAAGAGGCTGATTAGGTTGGGTTCTAAGAAAGGGTCACCAGACCCGAAACATTAACTCCAATTCTTTTCTTCACAGATGCTGCCAGACCTGCTGAGCTTCCAGTAACTTCTGTTTTTGTTCCTGAATAGGCTGGGTCTATTTTCCCTGGAGTGTCAGAGGCTGAGGGGTGACCTTACAGAAATTTATAAAATCATGAAGGGCATGGATAGCGTTTTTTTTTTCTCTAGGGTGGGATGGTCCAAAACTAGAGAGCAAAGGTTTAAGGTGAAAAGTAAAAGATTTAAAAGGGACCTAAGGGGTAACTTTTTCACGCAGAAGGTGGTGCATGTGTAAAATGAGCTGCCAGGGGAAGTTGTGGAGGCTGGTACAATTACAACATTTAAAAAACGCCTGGTTGGAAAAATGAATAGGAAGAGTTTAGAGGGACATGTGCTAAATGCTGGCAAAGGGAACTAGATTTATTTAGGATATCTAGCTGGCATAGGCAAGTTGGACCGAAGGGTCCGTTTCTAGGCTGTACAGCTCTATGACTCCACACAGATAGTTGCCCAATGGTGAAATTGAACCCAGGCCCCTGGAGCTGCAGGGCAGCGGTGCTAACCACTGAGCCATCATGCTGCCCAACGGGGCCCAATCTCATGATGTAAATTCATTCATCTTCTTTCTTTGCTCTGGTACTTTGAAAAGTATTGTCATTTGATTAGAGCAAATGCTAAAGTCAAGTTATTGCACTGTCACAAATGTTGTTGCATGTGATAAATGGCATGTTTATTAAAGTGCAAATGGAGATCATTGTGGTATTGGCAATGTTACTGTTAGTGAATTCTGGCTCGGTCTTCAGAGCATAACTGAAATTTTGTTGTATTGTTGGCATTGATCTTTTGAGAGAATTATCATGTTGCTATCACAGTGTAATTGGAGAACTATTTTGTTACTGTCACTGTTACTATTCATAGTCAATGGTCACATTTTTGTAACTGTGTATCAATTGTCATGTTGTATTGTTGACACGGATTTTTTTTGATTCCCATAAAGAATCCCATAATCCCATGAATTATTTTGTGAAAAAAATGAACCACTGATTTATTCCTAATTGACTTTAAAGCAATTATTTTATTGTGAATGGATTTATTAGCATTGAGTGACAGACATTAAGCATTGATTTGCTCTATAGGAAATAGCATCAGGAGTAGGCCATTCTGCTCCTTTAGCCTGCTCCGCTATTCAATGGCTGATCCAACACTCCTCATGCCCACTTTCCTGTGTTTTCCTTGTAATTGATTACTCATCATTTCTCAGGACCAATTTTTCCAATCAATGTGGAGGATCCAAATGACTATCAGGTAGCTAAGAAGAGCATCTGACTGACCACTACATCACCGAGGCAACTCTCTGACACTGCCTCCAACTGCCCCCTTGATCATGACCCCACCCCCGACCACCAAAACATCCACAACTTCATCACCTCAGGTGACCTCAAAACCACAGCCTCCAACCTCATCGTTCCCCAAACCTGCACCACCCGCTTCTATCTCCTTCCCAAAATCGACAAACCTGACTACCCTGGTCAACCCATTGTCTCCGCCAGCTCCTGCCCCACCGAACTTATCTCCACCTATCTCGAATCCATTTTCTCCCCCTTGGTCCAGGAACTCCCTACCTATGTCCGTGACACCACCCATGCCCTCCACCTCCTCCAAAACTTCCAATTCCCTGGTCCCCAACACCTCATCTTTACCATGGACGTCCAGTCCCTATACACCTGCATTCCCCATGCAGATGGCCTAAAGGCCCTCCGCTTCTTCCTGTCCCACAGACCCGACCAGTCTCCCTCCACTGACTCCCTCATCCACTTAGCTGAACTCGTGCTCACCCTCAACAACTTCTCTTTCAATTCCTCCCACTTCCTACAGACAAAGGGGGTGGCCGTGGGTACCCGCATGGGCCCAAGCTATGCCTGCCCCTTTGTAGGTTACGTGGAACAATCCCTCTTCCGTAGCTACACTGGCCATAAACCCTACCTCTTCCTCCGTTGCATTGATAACTATCGGCACTGCCTCGTGCTCCCAGGAGGAGCTCAAGCAGTTCATCCACTTCACCAACACCTTCCACCCCAACCTTAAGTTCACCTGGACCATCTCTGATACCTCTATCTCCTTCCTGGACCTCTCTGTTTCCATCTATGGCAAGAACTGGAAATCGATATCCATTTCAAGCCCACCGACGCCCACAGCTACCTAGTATACACCTCCTCCCACCCACCTTCCTGCAAAAATGCCATCCGGTATTCCCAATTCCTTCACCTCCAATGCATCTGCTCCCAGGATGAGGCATTCCACTCCCGAACATCTCAGATGGCCTCGTTTTTCAAGGACCGCAACTTCCCCCCTTCAGTGGTCGAGAATGCCTTCGAAAGTGTCTCCCGCACTTCACGCAACACATCCCTCACACCCCCTCCCCACAATAACAACCAAAACAGAATCCCCCTCGTCCTCATGTACCACCCCGCCAACCTCCGGATCCAACGCATCATTCTCCGACACTTCCGCCATCTGCAATCCGACCCCACCACCAAAGACATTTTTCCCTCCCCACCCTTACCTGCTTTCCGGAGGGACCACTCTCTCCATGACTCCCTTGTCTGCACCACACTCCTCTCCAGCCCCACCACACCCGGCACTCTTCCCTGCAACCGCAGGAAGTGCTACACCTGCCCCTACACCTCCCCCCTCACCCCCATCCCAGGCCCCAAGAAGACTTTCCACACCAAGCAGATGTTCACCTGCACATCTGCTAATGTGGTATACTGTATCCGTGGTGCCCGTTGTGGCCTCCTCTACATCGGGGAAACCAAGCGGAGCCTTGGGGACCACTTTGCAGAACACCTATGCTCGGTTCGCACTAAACAACTGCACCTCCCATTTCAACTCCCCCCCCCATTCCTCAGACGACATGTCCATCGTGGGCCTCCTGCAGTGCCACAACGATGCCACCCAAAGGTTGCAGGAACAGCATCTCATGTTTCACTTGGGAACCGTGCAGCCCAATGGTATCAATATGGACTTCACAAACTTCAAAATCTCCCCTCCCCCAACCGCATCCCAAAACCAGCACAGCTTGTCCCCGCCTCCCTAACCTGTCCTTCCTCCCACCCATCCCCTCCTCCCACCTCAAGCCCCTCCCCCATCTCCTATCTGCTAGCTTCATCCCGCCCCCTTGACCTGTCCATCCTCCCTGGACTGACCTATCCCCTCCCTAACTCCCCACCTACAATCACCTTTAGTGGGTCCATCTCCGTGTCTTTGACCTGTCTGTCTCCTCCCCACCTATCTTCTCCTTTATCCAACTTGTTTCCACCTCCCCCTCTCTCCCTATTTATTTCAGAACCTCCTTTCCCTGCCCCATTTCTGAAGAAGGGTCTAGGCCCAAGACATCAGCTTTCCTGCTCCTCTGATGCTGCTTGGCCTGCTGTTTTCATGCAGCTCTACCCCTTGTTATCTCATCATGTTTCATATGTTAAGTTACAACACCCTTATTTTGCATACTGGCTTCTTTGGGTGATTTTGTTTTTATACATGTTGACCGATCAGTTTCAGTGCAAACTTTCATATACACTTGATTGACTTCTGATTCTCATTGTTAAATAATCTGTGTCCTTCTAACTCCAACACTTATTCTTGCATTTTAAAAAAAAAGTTCATCAATGATTTTATTTTTGTTATCAGCACATTTCTTTTCTTTCATTTTGCTAGAAAATTTGCCGGACTGTATCTGTCTTCGTTTATTCAATTTGTGAGTTTTCGTTATTTTGTTAAACAGCCATTTGCTTTTCAATATTGCTTGTAATTTGTATGATTATTTAACATTTTCTTCCATTCCATAAGCAGTAAATTTCAGTGCATTAACATGTCATTCAGATATACATTCTAACTAAGATTGTTTGTAAATGATTTATTGCAATAGGAGTTGAACAAGTTAAGTTTCTGCTTGGGTGCTGTGCCACAATCACATTAATCTTAGCTGTCCCTCAATTTCTCTTTCTATACAGCTAACTTAGTGGTCATCGTGATTCTGGCCCGAAGACGTTGCGGCCTCTCTGAATGTATTATTTACTATGTGATATCCATGGCAGTGACAGATCTCCTGGTCATTATCACTGCAGTGATTTTACACCGGACTTTTGGTATTTATTTCCCATTTAGTTTCTTATCCATAACACCTGTGTGCAGTCTACTTGTTGCCACAATTTATGTGGCACTAGACAGTTCTGTTTGGTTAACAGTTGCTTTCACCTTTGATCGATTTATTGCCATTTGTTGCCAGAAGCTAAAAATAAAATATTGTACCAAGAAGACCACAGTGCAAATTATAGGAATAGTGCCTCCACTGGCCTGTGTGAAAAATATCTTCATGTATTTCATATGTGAACCTGTGTACACAGTTGAAAATGTACCCTGGTTCTGCAGAACTAAACCAATTTTCTATACATCACCTGCATGGACTGCATATGATTGGATTCGTTCCATACTAACCCCTTGTTTGCCTTTCATTCTTATTTCACTGTTCAATGCTCTTACTGTAAGACATATTCTAGCATCGAATACAACTCGCAGGAAACTCCGCACCCAGAGCATCGTAGAAAATCAAAGTGACCCAGAGGTGGAGAAGCGTCAAAAGTCCATTGTTTTACTATTTGCCATCTCAGGAAGTTTCATTGTGCTAAATATGTTATATTTTGTAACGATCCTTTATGTCCGTATTGCTGATGTCCGATATTTCTCAGATTCTGTTTTCAGTCAAACAGCATTTAACATTGAGGAAATCGGGTATATGCTTCAGTTTTTCAGTTCCTGCACCAATCCATTTATTTATGCAGGAACCCAGAGTAAATTCAGATTCGAGTTAAAAAGGGAGGCAAGTTATCAACTGAGTCGATTTGTTAAATTATTTAAATTTTGAAATGAAGAATGAAACTGTAAATCAACATGACCCTCCAGAATTATTGGCAATAACATAAACGGGCACACTTCAAAGCTTGAATTACTTTTAGAATAGAATAGAATATCCTTTATTGTCAAGTACAGGACTACAGTGAAAAGTTTTTACAATGGCAGACGGCGCCATCTTAGGTACAAGTACCTAGGTACAAATCTTGGATACAAAAGAGGAATTAAAAGGAGAAGTAGTAGCATTACTTACAGTGTCTAAAAAAATCTAAGAAATAAGATAGTTATAACATAGTTAAAGGTTGACATTACAGTCCAGTAAAGAATTTCAAATAGCAGCAGTTCATTACGTGGTCTGACTGCTTGCACCAGGCCCCAATCCAACAACTGTCCTGCTCTGCTCCAAGCCTCAGGATAGCTCCACACTGGCACTCAGCTGCACCAAAGTAAGTTGCACTGCTCCGGAATTCGGGCTTCCCCTCACACTGCTCCGGGACTTGGGTTTCCCCTCATTAATACTGCATGAACAAAATATGTATAAGGAATTCTGTACTACAACTCAAATCCATATTCTATTTGTTCCAAATTATTGCCAGTCCATCGTTGTTTGACTACCTAAACAACTGCAGTTCTATACAGCTCCAACATGACTTGCCAATTTTTATACTGTATGCCTTGACCAATGAAGGAAACCATGCCTTCTTGGCCACCTTATCGATTTGTATTGCCACTTTCAGGGAATTTTGGACCTTTACACCTAGATCCCTCAGTATGTTCATGCTTCTAAGGGTTCTGCCATTTACTGTATGCTTCCGTCCTGCATTAGACCTTCCAGATGCATCTCATCAAATTTATGCAGATTAAAATCCATCTTCCATTACACCGCCCATGTGTCCAACTTATCTATAGCCTACTGTTTTACCTAGCAATACTCCTGACTACCCACAGCTCCCCCAATCTTTGTGTCATCCATGAACTTACTAATTAGGCCATCTACATTCTCCTCCAAATCATGTAAACATATTACAAATAACAGGGGTCCCAGCACTGATTCCTGCGAAAGACCACTGGCCATAGACCTCCAGTCAGAAAAATACATCCTTCCACCACTTCTTTCTGTCTTCTATGATTAAACCAGTTCTGTATCCATCTTACCAGCTCACTGTGGATCCCATGTGACTTTGCCTTTTGACCTTGTCAAAGGCCTTGCTAAAGTTCAGAGCAACAACATCTACCACCCTGCATGTCTTGAATCTGGTATTGCGCATGACCTGCAGTCAGGTAGACTGCTGAGCCCAGTCTAGGGTTGAATAAGCCCTCAATGAGTCATTTATATATTTGTTTTTAAAGTAACAGAACCATTTATTGTCAGTCTTTATGTTTCCTTTACCAACCACAGTGCTGGCTAGATTCAGTGTGGGATTATCGCCTGCAGTACCAATAAGCTCTAGCAGATGTACAATGTGGATCTGCACCTTGAACTACAGTTTCAAGATCTGAGACCTTGAATTCTAATTATGTGTTAACATTCTGAATCCTGGTCTGCAGGGCCCAACCAAGAATGTCACTGTCCTAGTCATTGGTTCAGATGCTTTTGTGCATTGTTCATCAGGTTGTAACACTGTTACCTCTTCAATGGGACTACTTTAAAAAATAAACATGAATTTATCTGCCCTTAAATACTTTTGGGGGAGTATCATATTATTTGCATTTCCTGAGATCTCTTTCTCCTCCTCACACATAGAGAGATTTTGCAGAATATCTATTTCTGCCAGTTCATGACCTACAAGAGAGAGAAAATCAATGAAAAGATGGCAGATCATTTGATCATCATTGTGTTCAATGTTTTAACAAAGACCACAATATTTTACATGCAGCAGAAGAGGTGTTGTGCCCAGTCATTAGACTTTTCACTTTCTTGATCATCCACACCATTGCTTGATAGGTAATTGCCTGACTAAACTTCATGCCACACAATTCCAGCTCACTTTATTCCAAAAGTGTGACAATGATCTTTGATGGCACATAGCTTTCAGTTTGTATTATATTGCTTGCTTGGTCAACTCTTCTCTCTTCCAAATATATAGAACTCCATTGTTACTCATCGATAAGTGAAATAGAGGGCTCTTATGGTAACGTTTGTCGAATTGTTCCTTATGATGTCACAGCAACTGTTCCTATATTTTACTATTCACGCTGTGCATGACGCATCATGTCCACACCAGTGTCTCAAATGAAGAGGATATCAGAATCTGATAAACAATATTGATTCTGCTAGACAGCCTTTTAATCTTTACTTGTGTTTATATCCTCATTTACCTGTATTCCCGTTGTACAGAAAAACTATTGACGTCTGAATCCACAGCCCCCTGAAATACAAAATTGCTCAGATTTACAGCGGTTTGGGTGCAGAAATTGCTCCTCACTACAGTCTGCAATGGTCATCCTATTGTTCTGAGACTGTTTTCCCCCTCCTCCCAAAGTCCTATATTCCCCAGCATTTTGAGATTTCTTTTTTTAAAAAGACACTTTAATTTAATTGCCTTCTATTCCTTCATAGTTCACAGGCCTGAGATTAGTTAGCTCAGTTGGCTGGATAGTTGGCTTTTGATATAAACTAATGCCAAATAGGTTGACGTTACTGTCCTTCATTTTGTTCATTACTGTTCATTACTATTCTTCATTTCAAACACTTCGCTCACCAGAAGCACAGTGATTCTCAGATCAAACCATGACTAAATATCCCTCAACAACAAAAACAAAGTTGCTGGAAAAGATCAGCAGGTCTGGCAGCAACTGTGAAGGAGAAAACAGAATTAACGTTTCGGGTTCGGTGACCCTCCTCAGAACTGATGATGGCTGGGAAAACATCAGTTTATATGCAGAAAATAGGGAGGTGGGTGGGGTAGGGGGTAAATGATAGGATAGAGCCCAAAGAGTGAGAAAGACAGTTAGACAGACAAAGGAGTTGCTAACGATCAGGCTGGGAGGGTGAATAGTTGTTAATGGGGACTGTTAGTGACTAACAACAGGGGGTGGGTAATGGCAGGCTATGTGGTAACAAGGCCTGCTGTGTGGGGTGGGGGGCTGGGACATGGGAGAGTTTAGGCCCTAAAATTATTGAACTCAATATTGAGTCCGGAGGGCTGTAGGATCCCCAAGCGGAAAATGAGGTGTTGTTCCTCCAGCTTGCATTGGGCTTCACTGGAACAGTGCAGCAAGCCAGAGACAGAGATGTTGGCCAGGGAGCAGGGTGGTGCGTAGAAGTGGCAGGCAACAGGTAGTTCAAGGTCTTTTTTGCGAGCAGTACGTAGATGTTCTGCAAAGCAGTTACCAAGTCTACGTTTCATTTCCCCAATGTAGAGGATACCACATTTTGAGCAGCGACTGCAGTAGACTAGATTCTGGGAAGTGCAGGTGAAGTGTTGCTTCATCTGGAAAGTTTGTTTGGGCCATTAGGTACTTGGGAGGGAGGAGGTAAATGGGCAGGTGTTGTACCTTCGACAGTTACAGGGGAAGGTGCTGTAGGGCTGTGGGGAGGTGTTGGGGGTGGAAGAAGTGTGGACCAGGGTGTCCCAGAGGGAACGGTCCCTGTGGAAGGCGGACAAGGGAGGGGAGGGGAATATGTGTCTGGTGGTGGCATCTTGCTGGAGGTGGCGGAAATGGCATCTGATGATCTTCTGGATGTGGTTGCTGGTGGGATGATAGGTGAGGATAAGGGGAACCCTATTGCTGTTGTGGGAGGGAAGAGAAGGGGGAAGGGCGGAAGTGCGGGAGATGGGTCAGACTTGGTTGTGGGCCCTGTTGACAACGGAGCTGGGGAATCCTCGGTTGAGAAAGAAGGTGGACATATCAGACACATCTAGAAGATCATCAGCTGCCATTTCCAATTATTTTCAACATTCTATTTCCAATTGGAGATCTGCCCTATTATCTGGTGGGAATACGGTGATAATATTTGAACCCCATAAGGTGTAGGACTAGTTTATTCAATTTTCCCACCTCAGAAATGCCACAAATTTTGGTGTCATCTGCAAACTTATGTTACAAAGTTGTGTAAGTATTCTTGAATTGAAAGGCAGAAAGTTAGAATTTGTTGGTAAAAATGATAGTGGGGAAAAGCAATGCATCGTTCCTTTAAGAGATTATGCTTTGTCTCTGCTTGGAAGTTTACAAGTACTGTGCAGAGAGCCCCAGGTGTGCTAAAAGGCCTTATAGTCAGCAGGCAAAGTTCTGGTATTGAGACAACAAGTTTGAATTTAGCCAATTAATTTAAACCAAGCACCTAGATACAGAAAACCAATTGAATATAAAAACTAATGATTTTGACAACCTGAAATCAATCATGTTATAGGAAATTGATGTGTCTTTGGCAGGTATATAAGACAAGTGTTTTTGAAAATCTGAATGAGAGCCAACTGTCACCTGTGGGGAAAGCAAGCCAATCTTAGAAATAAGCCTCGATCTCTCCAAAGAAATCACTAAGCTCTCTATTAAAGCACCATCAATCTGAAAAAGGTACCATGGCATTTTAGCTCAAAGTCCTCACCGAAGAAATTACAGGGAAAAACATCCCTGACAGCAGAATCAGCAGAAGACAGGCTTTTGTGGCATAACAGAGAAGGCAAAGCATTCCAGAAGACACAGTCTATGCAAATTTGGAGAGATTAAGTTTTAATTTATTGTTGTATTTTAATTGGGTTTATATGAATGTGACTTGTGTTTATTTGAACAGCATTTCGGTGGAATTTAGGCCAGTTAGGGAGTAGTTAATAGCCTAAGGGGGAATTGTTCAGTTTGTTAGTAATTCTGTAAATTTTTTCTTTGTCCAGGTCAAATAAATAAATTGTTACTTGTTACTTATGAAATGGAGATCAGGGATTTTCTTTCATCTAACCATGCTTTTAACAGATTTGAGGGGTGAGGTGAGCATCTCTGGGTGTTTTGGATTTAATTATTACAAGGGAATCTTTACTTCCGTCATAAAAGTTTTGGGCTTGTGTCTTCATTTAA